ATGGGCCACCCTTCTTCCCTACAGTGCACACTGCACTCACACTGTAGAAGAACTTTTGCTTTATTCGGGCCAGCTGGCCTTGTCACAAGCTTGCAGAGGCAGTTCCCTTCACTCCTGCATGCTCTATCATCTCCACTCCATCTTCACACCCATGAATTACTGACCACCCCCAGGTCTGTGCTGCCACGGCCTTAAGCAGCTGTCCCAACTATTCCATCCTCTGCCCACTGGGCCCAACACCTATGCAGTCCCAGCAGTGCTGCTTCCCCACGAAGGGCAGCTGAGACTGCTGGCTAGCCTCTTCCCACCGTGCTTGTGCCTTGGCCTTAAGCAGCTGTCCCAACTATTCCAGCCTCTGCCCACTGGGCCCAACACCCATGCAGTCCCAGCAGTGCTGCTTCCCCATGAAGGGCAGCTGAGACTGCTAGCTAGCCTCTTCCCACCGTGCTTGTGCCTGGCCGTACACACCCCATGGGATGAGCGCCTTTTTCTGTGTTCTTCCCACCTGGCTTCTCCAGACCCCTAACTCGCCCGTAGCCCCACCCTGTGAGGGAGGGCAGTAGGCCCTGAGCCCCTCTGCTACATTGATCTTCATACAACTGTTGTGAGTGGAAACACAAAATCAAGTTCTGTACACACATGTAGGAATCTGACATGGTGATAAACGAGATAAACTTCTGTATGCCAGATAGCTGGTAAAGGCCAGGAAAAAAGTTGCCTTTGGCATGTTCCATAATGTTCTTTTCTCTTCAACTCTATTCTGAACAGGTGGAATGTATCATGGTGATTTTACTGAGAAATTAAAACTCCTTTACAAACTACATTTACCTCCAGGTGAGTGTCTTCTTATATCACCTCACCTAATTAATCTCTCTTTCTCAGGATCCAGCATGGTAACCAGGTGATCTTCATCGTGGTCTCTGTGCAGTCCCACACATGGGTTGGGCACCTGTGCACGACCTTGACCGGAGAAACTTCTAGAGCTTTGCCTCAGAAACCTTTTGGCGGGCTCTCTCCCGGCCCTGGGGAGCAGGCACGTACTGCGCATGCTTGGAGCGGGGGAGAGAGCCAGCTCCCACTCAGTGCTTCTTCGACCGCCTGCGTGTTCACATCTCATTCCTGTTGCTCGAGAGCCGCCTCCCACTCAGTTCTTCTTCGACCGCCTGCGTGTTCACACCTCGTTCCTGTTGCTCTCCGTATTTGCCTCAGCTGAGTATATTTGTTCGTCTGCCTTCGTCGGTCTTTGTTTCTTTGCTTCGCCCTTCTTTCCTCTCTATTTCTACAAAAAAAACCTAGACCTTTTTTCTTCACTTTCTTTCTCCCCCCCCCCATTTGGTGGGTGGGGAGGAGAGTGTATAGGCAAAACAGTTTTTTAAAGTGTGTCGTCGTTGCCCAGCTAAGATATCTTCGAACGACGGTCACGATTTTTGCCTTCTTTGTCTGAGGGAATCCCATAGGGTTGATAGCTGCGTCCGTTGCGCTAGTTTTACTAGGCAAGCTAGACGTAATAGGGAGGCTCAGCTTAAGGCTGTTCTTTTAGAGGCAGCTTTGCGCCCTACAATGTCTTTGGCTGCTTCTCATTCTTCTGTCCTTCAAAGATCGGATGGGGCTCCAAAGGCACCAAAGCTAAAATCTAAACAGCTTGAGGATATGGCTCCATCGAATGTTGACCCGGTCATCATCACCGATTTAATGATATCGACTCCTGCTGTGGCTGTCGTGTCCCAAAAGTCCACTTTGCAGCCTCTGACACCACCACCTACGCTCTCTTCAGCGTCTGGCCTTATTCCACGGGGTCAGTCCACGCTCTCTCCCCGCCCTGGGGAGCAGGCACGTACTGCGCATGCTTGGAGTGGGGGAGAGAGCCGCCTCCCACTCAGTTCTTCTTCGACCGCCTGCGTGTTCACACCTCGTTCCTGTTGCTCTCCGTATTTGCCTCAGCTGAGTATATTTGTTCGTCTGCCTTCGTCGGTCTTTGTTTCTTTGCTTCGCCCTTCTTTCCTCTCTATTTCTACAAAAAAAACCTAGACCTTTTTTCTTCACTTTCTTTCTCCCCCCCCCCATTTGGTGGGTGGGGAGGAGAGTGTATAGGCAAAACAGTTTTTTAAAGTGTGTCGTCGTTGCCCAGCTAAGATATCTTCGAACGACGGTCACGATTTTTGCCTTCTTTGTCTGAGGGAATCCCATAGGGTTGATAGCTGCGTCCGTTGCGCTAGTTTTACTAGGCAAGCTAGACGTAATAGGGAGGCTCAGCTTAAGGCTGTCCTTTTAGAGGCAGCTTTGCGCCCTACAATGTCTTTGGCTGCTTCTCATTCTTCTGTCCCTCAAAGATCGGATGGGGCTCCGAAGGCACCAAAGTTAAAATCTAAACGGCCTGAGGATATGGCTCCGTCGAATGTTGACCCGGTCATCATCACCGGTTTAACGATATCGACTCCTGCGTTGGCTGCCGTGTTCCACAAGTCCACTTTGCAGCCTCCGACACCACGGAGCGTCTGAGACCTAGAACTCGATGTTCCGCACATCAATGATGAGCCTCGGTGTTTGGGTTCTATTTCCCCCACTGAGGGGGACCAGGATAGCCTCTGTGCTTCAAGTCCAGGGTTGCACTGAGTCCCCTGCTGTGACCAGTGTTGTTCACAGGCTGGTTCAGACCGACCTCCCACCTTCTACGGTCCTGCCTCTGCTTCCGCTCAGTCCACAAGATCGCCTCCCGACTTGTCGTCTTACCGGGACTCTCGATCTCCGTCTGCACACTCCCATACCCTGATCCACGATTTGGAGAGCTGATACGATCGAGAGTGTCTCATTCATCATCCGTCGCCTTCCCCCTCGGGATCACCTTCTGACGACCAATACTGGTCTCCTGATGAACAAGATCGGCCTGCATATTATCCTTACTACTATTCAAGGTCTCCTACTCCTCAGCGGCACCACTATGATCAACTACATCACTCTGAACATACTGAGCATCGACACATTCCGGCTTAGCCAGACGTTCTCGATCTGTGACTTCGACCTGCTCTGCGGCTCCTGACCAGCCTCCTGAGCTCTCGAGACCCAGGGATGCCCTGAAGTGTTCTCCCTCAGAACCTTGGCTTCATCCCCCTGGTGATGCCCAGATACCGGCTGATCTCACTCAACCGCTGAGATCGTCCTCTCCCATGTCGATCTCCGACAACTTGGATTCAGGAGACCCAGAGCTCAATGTTCCACACATCGACGATGAGCCTTGGCGCTCGGGTTCTATTTCCCCCACTGAGGGCCCAAAAGTTTATTTGGAACTGGTGACCAGGATGGCCTCTGCGCTTCAAGTCCAGGGTTCCACTGAGTCCCCTGCTGTGACCGATGTTGTTCACAGGCTGGTTCAGGCTGACCTCCCGCATTCTACGGTCCTGCCTCTGCTTCCGGTCCATCTTTCTGCCCTTAAAGAGTCGTGGGTCCATCCGGCTTCAATTCCCCCGGTCTCCAGACGATATGAAGCTCTCTATAAAGTCCAAGAGAGCTTGGGGAAATTTATCTTCAGTCAGCCTCTGCTGAATTCGATGGTGGTACATTCTTCCTCGAAATCGAAGCAATCTGCCCGCCACTTGACGCCTCCCGATCGTGAGGGTCACAAGGTCGATGCTATCATGAAGAAGATGTATTCCTTCGCCTCTATGAACCTTCATATTGAGACCTACCTGTCATACCTGTTGGCTTATGCTTTTAATGTGGCTAATGCAGTACGTCCTGTCTTGGAGTTTGTTCCGGAGGAACACCGTCCCACGTTGTCAGGGGCTTTGTTGGAAATGTGTACGATCTCAAAACAGCAGATCAATTCAGTCCGTCATGCTGTCACTTGCTCCTCAAAGGTCCTTGTCGCCTCCGTCGCCCTCTCGACTTCGACGCCTCGACATCAGTACCGTTCTTGGAAGCCGCATTATGCAAGGCACCAGCCGTCTCCTGCGCCCACCTCTCAATGGAGAAAGAGGCCCTATGACTCCCATCACTCGAATACGGCGTGCCAACAGGCTCCTAAAATACCCCAGCAGCCCAAGCAGTCCGTTTGACTGCTTCAATCGCCTGCCATCTCCTCCATCGTACACCCTCCCATCCGGACCCGACTCTTCCCCTTTCTGCCAACGTGGGAAGGAATTTCCACCAATTCCTGGGTCCTTACCATCCTATGGGTCGGGTACGCCATAGAGTTCGTTTCGCCTCCCAACCTACCTCACTTTGTCATCACCCTCCTGGATCCTCTCCTCCATCTTGAGATTTCCGTGCTTCAGGCCAAGGGCGCCATCGAGGTCATCCCAGATGCGCAACGAACCCTAGGCTTCCACTCCAAGTATTTCCTCGTACTGAAGATGGATGGCGGCTTCAGGGCCATCTTCAGGATCTTCAGGATCTGAATCGATACATTCAATGCCACAAGTCCCGAATGGCCACCTTACGGTCTATTCTTCCACTGATTCCCAAGGCTGCATGGTTAGCATCTGTCGATCTCCAGGACATATGCTGTCACTTGCTCCTCAAAGGTCCTTGTCGCCTCTGTCGCCCTCTCAACCTCGACATCAGTACCGTTCTTGGAAGCCGCATTATGCAATGTGCCAGCCGTCTCCCGTGCCCACCTCTCAATGGAGAAAGAGGCCCTATGACTCCCTTCACTCGAATACGGTACGCTAACAGGTTCCTAAAAAAACCCAGCAGCCCAAGCAGTCCGTTTGACTGCTTTGATCGCCTGCCGTCTCCTCCGTCGTACACCCTCCCATCCGGACCCGACTCTTCCCCTTTCTGCCAACATGGGAAGGAATTTCCACCAATTCCTGGGTCCTTACCATCCTATGGGTCGGGTATGCCATAGAGTTCGTTTCGTCTCCCGACCTACCTCACTTTGTCATCACCCCTTTGGATCCCTCTCCTCCATCTCGAGATTTCTGTGCTTCTGGCCAAGGGTGCCATCGAGGTCGTCTCAGAGGCGCAACGAACCCTAGGCTTCTACTCCAAGTATTTCCTCATACTGAAGATGGATGGTGGCTTCATGGCTATTATGGATCTTCGGGATCTGAATCGATATGTTCGATGCCACAGATCCCACCCCTTGTCGTCGACTCCCTCGCTGATCTCCTCTCTCGGTCTCGAGGAAGGATCCTGCACCCCAATCTGGGCTTCTTCAGGATGTATTTTCACATCACTATCCGTCCCCAACATCGAAAGTTCCCCCGTTTCACTGTCGGCAATGCACACTACCAATACCGGGTCCTCCCGTTCAAACTCTGCACTGCCCCGAGGGTTTTTACCAAATTGATGGCTGTGGTGGCTGCAGACCTCCATTGTCGTGGGATTGCCCTGTATCCCTATATCGACGACTGGCTTCTCATGGCCACCACGCAAGACCAGCTCCTCTGAGATGTCCAAATGACCCTGTCTCTCCTTTGTGCCCTTGGGCTTTGTGTCAACCTACCCAAGTCATCTCTCCGACCTGTCCAGGTCCTTCAATTTCTGGGTGCCCAGCTCGATACCAATCTCAAGACTGTGTTTCTCCTGAACTCAAGGCCCTCCGACATACTCTCGTTGGTCTCGCAGTTCCAGACCTCTCCCTGGCAGTCCGCTCAATCCGTCATGAGGCTCCTGGGGCGGTATGGACATTCACTGCTTTCCTGGCTGGTATTCAGCCAATTTCCTCTCAACGTTTGTCTAAATGGGTGACTTCCACCATAGTCCTTTGCTATGAGCTTGCATGTCAACCCGTTCCTACCTGTGTCACTGCCCATTCCACACGGGCGGTATCGACATTCACTGCTTTCCTGGCTGGTATTCCGCTGGAGGACGTCTGTGCGGCTGTCCTTGGCATCGACCTTTGTGACTCACTATGCACTCGACGTCTGAGCTTGACGGGATTCTGCATTCGGCCAGTTGGTGCTGCGATCTCTCTTTGCTTGACCCTGCTGTGTCCCCAGGTAGGAAACTTGGGTGTTTCTTCTCACTGATGATGCTGTGTCTTAACCAGTATTCTTTGTGTCTCTTGCAGCTGCCGGCTCCCTCCTCCAACTGGTTCAGCTCTTGTAATCACCCATGTGTGGGACTGCACAGAGACCACGACGAAGATAAGCAGGTTGCTTACCTGTAACTGATGATCTTTGAGTGGTCATCTGTGCAGTCCCACAGTCCCACCCAGCCCTTCCCCACTGATGGCATCTCCTATTCACTTTTCTTTGGCATGATGGGACTTACCGGTAGCAGTCGAAGGAACTGAGTGGGAGGCAGCTCTCTCCCCTGCTCCAGGTATGCGCAATACGTGCCTGCTCCCTAGGGTGGGAAGAGAGCCCGCCGAAAGCTTTCTGAGGCAAAGCTCTAGACGTTTCTCCGGTCGAGGTTGTGAGCAGGCGCCCAACCCATGTGTGGTACAGCACAGATGACCACTCGAAGATCATCAGTTACAGGTAAGCAACCTGTTTTTTATATAAATCTAATTTTATGCTTTTACTGAAAGATACTCCCATATTCTGGGTAAAGCCATTGCAGTCCTGTTACTTGGAGGAAATGCAAACCGCCTGAGAGTATCTGAGGGCCAAACTAGGTGTTAGGCCATCGACTGGTCGCACCCATGGATGCCCTAATGTCAGTTTTGTGTAGTAGTTAAATGCGCAGACTCTAATCTGGAAGAACTGGGTTTGATTCCCCACTCCTCCACTTGCAGCTGCTGGATGACCTTGGGCGGCAAGCCATAGTTCTGTCAGAGCTGTTCCTGAAAGAGCAGTTTCTGTCAGAGCTCTCTCAGCCTCACCTACCTCACAGGGGATCTGTCGTGGGGAGGGGAAGGGAAAGGAGTTTGTAAGCCGCTCTGAGACTCTGAGTGAAGGGCAGGGTATAAATCCAATCTCTTCTCTCTTCTTCTAGTTTGGCCCTGAGTCCCAAGAGTTAAGTGTGTTTAAGCTGCCTTGAGTTCATCTGATAAAGCAAGACATAGCATAAATAACGAATCACAACAAAGGGTTTGCTTTATTTATTTTTTTCACTTCCCTTCATATAGCTCTGAGTCCAGAAGAAGCAGAGTCTGCTCTGGAGGCCACAAATTACTTCACAGATGTTAACACTACAAAAGGTAATAAATATTGTTATCACCTGAATGAGAACATGTGCACTATGGTGTGAAGCCACTCAGCCGTTGCTATGGTTATCCTCCACAGCAGGAGGGTGTCCCAGAAAGGCTCTAGCAAGAGGGCTATTTAGTCTAATATGTGAAGTATAGTTAGAGGAAGCCTAATGCTGCTTGTTCTTATCAACAGACTGGTTGTCCTATGATAGGGGACTCATGCTTAGATCTTGTTGTATCTTGTTTCTTTTTTGCTCCCCTCATTATTTCTCTTGGTCTGTACTCAGCTCACTCTCTTGTTATGCCTTTGATTTCTTCCCTACTTTCAAACCCAGTTTCTCTTTCTTTCTCTCTCATCTTTCCTTCTCCAGTATCTCCTTTTGTCTCAGAACTGGATCTCTTCCTGCAATGTGATTCTCAAGGTTAGTCTGAATTGCTTGCACAACAGTGAGCCCACTGTTTGTGTGCTATTACCCCCCCCCCTTCTGAACACTCACGTGAAAGCCATATAGAATTAAATTGCTTAATACCATTCCTCTGTGCCATTTCTGATACAGCTAGGTGCAACATTTTATTTTCTTCATGTGTGATACATTTTAGATGCATTTGATTATTCTTCCTCAGATTTCATAACCACCCATTTTAAATTCACTGTTCAGGCCCTAATGTTGAAAAGGTATGACTTCTAATAATTAACCTTGTGATTCATTCCACTAATAATAATAGTTATTTAGTGCCGAGGACACCTCGAAGCCGTACATACTAGCTGTTGTAGCAAAACCAAAGAAAACCCAAAATTATTTTCTGTACTGCTGTAATATAAAGAAAAAGTGCACTAATACAAATACATTTGCTATGGATTTCATGTTTAAGACTCATTACCTCTTTATGATTTCCCAATTTAAAATATACGGACCGTGGCATGGACCAACAGCTAAGGGACAGGAGCCCTTTAAGAGGTCTTGGAGTGCACTGGGATCCTGCTGAGCCAACAGCGAGAATGTGGCTGGAAGGGGATCAGGGGGGGAGAGGCTGGTTACTGGGGGGAGGTGCCTCTCTCTGTGGGGAAGGCCGTGCCCCTAGGGTGGAAAGCAGAGGAAGCGGGAACTTCAACTAGGACTCTCAGCTGTGGGTCCTACGCTGGGTGAAGACTTAAGGGCAGACGTGGGAAGGAACTGGACCGTGCGGGGCACGAGAAAACCAGAGTCAGGAGAGGCATGAAGGTGGCCTGTCTGACACATGGAAAGGCAGGGAGAAAGATGGCTGGGAAGGGAGTGACAAAACCACCCTGTGGACCAGGGCGAAGCGCCTTATTGTAGCAACCCAAATAAAGGCCTGAGTTCAGTGCATTTCTGTTGGCTCCGTGTGAGTACTTACCAAGGAGTCAGGAACATGGACCGTCAGTCCAGACCCAGTCTATTGAGGTCACTGGTGTCAGGGGTGCCCAGGTTGCAGGCAGGTGTGGGGCATTCCCCTGAGACAAAACAGACTATATTTGATCAATATGGAAATGCTTATTGAAAAATATTAAATACTTCAAGTGACCTGAAGTCATAATGTATGACTTCATGTGTGTTTGGGCATACCATCTGAAAGTGTCTCTGAGATAATGCTAGATAACAAAAAAAATTATCATATTGTCTCTTTGCCCCTCTGCCCCCTCTTTCCTAGTTAACATGCAATTCTTTCCTTTTTTCCAGTTGACCATGGTACACTTAATTCAGTACTTGCTTTCATTACCTACTCCCCTCATCTTTTTGTGCTGGCCCTCCTGTGCACTGAAACATACACTACTCCAATGTTTTGTTTTAATCCTTCACTGTCAAACATGTACCTGCAGTGGAGTTTCATCTTTTAAATACTTCCTTGTACTTTTTTTTCTGGATATGAATTGTCTTAGTGGATTAAACCAAAGATCCACCTTGTCCAGCATTCTGTTTCCAAGAGTAGCCAGATGCAACTGACAAGCTCTCAAGCACAGCAGAATGGAGATAGTATACTCTGATGTTGGGGTTCACCCCCAGATGGTGGGGGGAGAGATAACTCTCTCAGAACATGGTGGTTTTATTTTTAGCTATCATTTACCCAAACTTACTTTGGTGTGATATTTCCTAAAAGGTTATACGTAACATGGGTTACCGTTAACAGAAAGTGTGGGTTGGGAAGGTGTGGAATTCTGCAGCTACCTGCCCACATCTCGTGCCACATCTGGCATTGTTCCCTCTCCCCTAGAAACACTGCCAGTGGGTTCTTTGTTGTTTTTTTAAAAAATTATCAGTAGTAAATATATTGCAATAGTATTAAAACACTATCTCAATACACAAGCTATCAACTATTTTTAAGCCAGCAAAGAGCCCATTGGAGGCAAGGGGAGAAAGGAAATGGCAGATGGGAGGGGAAAGAACATGGAGTTGCCTTGTGTGGAGGCTTCATGCTGCTGTGAATGCCTTTGCATTTTCACCAGCAGTGAGATCAAACTGGGAACTGGGGAATCGCCTCTGTATGGAATTGACCATAAACACTGGGTTGCTCCCACAGAAGACTCATGATGTACATCTCTATGCACCATTTGTTAAATGTTCTTTAGTGTGTGCCTAAATACAGAGTTTACTGAAAAAAAGATGTCTCTCTTTTTTTGTTAGAAGCAGCAGTGCAGGAAGACAAAGCATCAAGAGAGGGGAACTCTAAAGAACAAGGTGATAATATTTCCTGGTGCTGGCAGATCGCATCCTAGTTATTTCCTTGCTTGTCACTCATGCAGCCCTTTTCACTCTCGCTAATGTTGCAGGGAATAAAATGCCTTGACCAGAACAGTTTTCAACAAAAGTTCTCTGTCAGAAAGGTCACACCTGGCCTGTTGGAGAGGATGTAACTCTCTTCCAAGCCACAAAATAGTTTGTTGCAGCTGTCATTTTTATGCAGTATGCTCAACATTAGTTCTTTTAAGCCATGCTGGATGAGATTTTTAAAAAGGAACAGGTCATCAACGTTCAAGAATATGCATATTCTTACAGTTTTGCATAGTACTGCTTAATACAGTAACCTTGGCACAGTACATGGAGTTGCCATTGAAGACAATCAGAACACTTCAGCTGGTGCAAAATGCAGCAGCCCATTTACTATCCATCCTTACACACCTGGACCGTGTGACACCAGCCCTGAAGTCCCCTTAGTGGCTGCCTATTTGTTTCTGGATCCAATTTAAAGTGCTGGTGCTTATCTTAAAATGTGAGGCCCACATATGTGAAGGACCATCTCTCCTGATATGAACCAATATAGTAATTATAGTCCCTACAAACCAGGGTCTCCTAAAAATCCTCTTGGGTGTATTCCACCCAATCACAGGTTTCTGTAGTTGCTGCTGTCATAGAGTGTAGTAGCAGCAAGGCTTCCACACATCAGATTTCTCCATAGTTTCAATCCTGCAGTTGAATATCACTGTACTAACATAACAATTTGAATTCCCACCTTTCATTGCTGAGATATGTCTTTCCCTTTATATTTCTGCAACATGTTTTTAAATTAAAGTTGTAACTTCAGAGAACCTGATGCACAGATTGTTAGTGTTTCAACATTATTCAATTGATGATTAAAACAAAAACAGAATAGCCCTTCAGTGGCAGACGGGAGGAAATGGCCACTGTGTAGCAGTGTAAAAGTAGGCAGAACCAGGAAAATCCAAACTTTTCCACCCACTTAGCAGCTATCCAGGCTTTACTGTGATCTTTCCCAAATCTTTGCAGCAAAACAGGGTTGGGAAGATTGGATAAAAGCTCTGGAACCACTGGGAGGTGCATAAATCTATCACAAGGCTGTGGGGAAGCAGGGGGAAAACACTTTCTAACAGCATCAAAACCCAGGGCAAATAACCTGTGTGGAAGTGGCCTTGCTCTCAAGGATAAGACCTGTGAAGGCCGGCCTTGGCCTTTACAGAACAGCTTCTTTGAAGAGTTGACCTAAACACCTACCATTAGCACCTTCCAGTGAGGTTGTTAAGACAAAATTATTTGAAAGAACTTACGGATCAACTTGGATGACATTTGGCTTAACTGTTTTAATTATTATGTGTTTGTTATATTTTTAAGTAACTGTTATAATTATATTAATATAATGTAGTTATATTAAATATTAATATATCAAATATTGACACAAAAACTATATTAATATTTGTATTTAATGTAATCCAGCTTGAGTTCTGACTGTATTGGGAGGGAGGAAGTGTATACAAATGTCCCGAATAAATATAATGGCATGATTTTCTTTGCAGAGGAGAAGGGTACCAGTCCACAAGATTACAGATATCATCTACGAATGTGGGCCAAGGAAAAAGATTCCAAAAAAGAAACTATCAAAGATCTCCCTAAAATGAGTCAGGTAGGAATCTGAGAATGCAATTTTTTTTTAATGTAATCTCTTTAACGACTAGGCTGACTTCAGCCATAATGTGAAATCAGGTCTATTTTAACCATGGTTATTTTGCGTAAGCAGGATTTGGCTCACAAATGATAGTTCAAATCTTAGTTTGCATCAACAGATGCTTTTTCCGTTGCCTTCTCTCTGGCCAAACACCTCTGTAGTCAGGGAATGTGGGATGACAGTGTTGCGGAACAAGCCAAATTTAAGGCAGGATATCAAAATCTTTATCTCAGACATATCACTGTTAAGGCTAACTGTGATTAATAAATTAACTTCTCTGTTGCTGTTTTTCCCAAGGAACAATTTATAGAGCTGTGCAAGACCCTTTACAATATGTTTAGCGAAGACCCTGTGGAACAAGAGTTGTACCATGCCATTGCTACTGTTGCCAGCCTTCTCCTGCGCATTGGGGAAGTAGGCAAAAAGTTCTCCCACCAGCCTCCAAAGAAAGCTGATGACTACAAAGTAAACAGCCCCCAGGATGCAGCAAGTGAAGAAGAGTCCCCAACGTCTGAGCAGAGCCAGAATTCAACTGTAGAACGGTATCCCCAAGCTAACACAGAAGATAAAGCTTCTGGAGATGTTCAGCTTGAGAAACACCAGCAGGAAAATCAGATTATCATAGACGGAGGTGGTGAGGGTCCAGGATCACCCATACAGATGCTTTCAGATGATGAAACCAAAGACGATATGTCTATGTCTTCCTACTCCATGGTCAGCACGGGCTCCTTGCAGTGTGAAGATATTGCAGATGATACCGTGCTGGTTGGCTGTGAAGCTGGCAGTTCAGTCGCACGCTATGGCAGCACCATTGATACAGACTGGTCCATCTCCTTCGAACAGGTCTTGGCCTCCATGCTTACAGAGACTGCCCTGGTAAACTACTTTGAGAAGAAAATTGACGTTACACAGAAGATCAAGGAGGAAAAGAAAGTAGAAAGGCAGTACAGTTCATCTAGCGATTATGAACTTTCCTCAGTGTCAGGTTAAACTCAGGGGGAAAGGCAAGGCTTGGATAATAAAAGTGGGTGATCTAGAAACCTGTTGTATGCCTGGACATGGCTTGGGTTTTTTTGTTGTTTTTTTACCAACAGCTGTAATTACCCAACAATTAAAGTAGCTTCAGCTGAGTAAGGGGCTTATCACAGTGACTATTTAATATAGATCCCTCCCTGGAGGATGCCTCGCTTGCTGGGCTTATGTTACACTGTCAAGAGCATGAAAGCCATTAGAACCTAATAGCCTCTGTGGCTTAGAGTTACTACACTTAAATTATGCATGTCAGCTTCTGGCTATCTTTCTTGAATGGAGCTTGATTTCAGTCATACTCTGCTCTACCGTCATTTGCTTTTATGTTCTTTGGTAATTGTTCACAAGAAATGCAGCCTAGCTTGAATTCCTTCCTTTTGTGTCTTTGGCTGCTTCCCTGTGACCTAACACTATGTATCAAAATGCTGCAGAGGCCCCAGCCTGCCCAAGGGAAAGCCTTGTTAGCAACCTAAATAAAATGCAGTCACTTGTCAGGAATAAAGACGTTCCATTCCACTACTCCTGCAGCTGCAGCAGTGGCTTGGGACAGCAGGTTTCTGTCCCAAGTGATTTACCATCCCAGCAGCATATGATTTTTGACATTTTACCAGAAAGATGCATACTAGCATCTTTTAATTCTTCAGTGCCAAGTATTAGTTTTTAACTTCCCTGAAAGAAAGACAAGCACTGGGAATTGCTGCAGCTGCAGGGACTGGGTTGGGGTGAATGCTGTCACTCTAGGTTTGACAAGACAGTAGAAGGGACACGCACTTCTTGCTGCTTTGAGCATTAATTTGCTCTCTTTATAATTTTGCAGGTTACATTGGATCTAAGAAGGGCATTGATTCCAGTGAACTAGTTATCACAGCAGATACTGAAGAGATTTGTTTCTTACTGTGGTCAGATGCAGGCCTTCAGGTTTTTCTGTGTGCTAGACCCACCCACTGCTCCGTGCAGGTGTAGAAACAATGTAGTTTTAGTTGTTTTTGCTTAGGCCTCCATCCTGTTTACTGGAACCAACTAAGTGGCTGCAGGGTAGTCCAGTTCCTCACGTCATAGGGATATCCGTGTTGGACTACAATTCAAAGAGTTGTTGTAACTTTCCTTAGTATTGCAATTTTTTGGGACCACCCTCTGTTTTGTAGGCACAGACCCTGCCCCCTGCACATTATTAGTCAACCAGGGGAAAGTTGGAGCTCTGTGTTGAGATTGATAGCTTCCCTATGGGAAGGCCTTCACTCTCAAGAACCACCATTGTATTTGTTTCTACAGACATGCTCATCTCATTACACAAGTATATTATTCTGTCACCATGGGCTTCATTGAAAGTGAGTGAATGGTAGTACGTGGCTGTGGCCTGGCCAGGAATGAGGGTGAACTACGCTGGCAGTTCAGAAAGAGAAAATTCTGAATCCCTTGGTTGGCTGCACCAATGGAATGCACCACGTCATGCAGTACGCAGTGTTACTATGTTCTTGTGGCATATTCTGTGTGTATTATCAACCCATATGTTTCTTAAGTCCCTGCCTCTTTTGTCATGTACCTCTGGACAGATAATGGGAAAATGTGCTTTTACTAATTCTTCAGTAATTTATTGTAATTTTTTTAAAATACAGGTACATGTGATTTTACATTATGTCTGATCAATCACATATTCAATAAATGGAAACTCTCACATATAGCCATGGGTTTGCTTTTGCTTTATTTGAGTAGCAACAGTCTGTAAAATGTCCACCATTCATTTTCACAATTACATTTTTCACAAGAGCCTTTGAGAAGACGTTTGAGATAAATAGGTAAGTGATCATCTATTTTGAATGTCAAGTCTCACTCATTTCTGTAATATGACAAAGTGCCTTAAGCATGTATAGAGTATTTGTTTCATTCTCACACCACTGAGTAATCACAGCCAGCTTCCACACATAGTTTGAAAGGCTTCTTTTTCATTTATTTTCTGCTACATTATGCAGGTTTCATTCCTCCCATGCACAAAGGCATTTCAGTTTGGCAGGGTTACTCTGTCTGAATTGAATTCTTGAACATTGCCGGGTCAGATCACTACGTCACATCCAGCCTTTTATAAGAAACATACCAAAGTGGCCAGTACAGTTTCACAGCAATACAGACTAGGGTATGTATTACTTTGGATATGACTGCCAAAACACTGAAATCACCAGCTACGCCAGGCCAGCTACTTATCTGTCTGTTCACCTGGGTTTGTACAGACTCCATGATTCTGATCCCCCCCAACAAAAGCTAGCAATCCTAGCCATTCCAAGACAGCTGTTCATGTACATGGAATGTAAGTAATCTTTTTTGCTTCTCCTCTGTGAAACTCACATGAAAAACAGTAACTAAAATTAAGTCATTCAAACATCACTTTTTATATTAAAATTTTATTTCAGTTTACAGATACAGACATAAAATATAAGCTATATTCGTTTATGTTTTTAAAAAATCAAACGTTTACATACTGATGAAGTGAGCAGTGTCAGTCAGTCAGTCAGTCATACCTCTTATTGGCATACTAAGTGAGCAGTGACTCACAAAACCTCATACCCTGCCACAAATTTTGTTTGTTTTTAAGGTGCTACTGGACTCTTGCTCTTCTACTACTGCAGACAGACTAACCCAGCTACCCATCTTGATCTAGCATATCCATAATCTGACTGCAGCATCAAATGATGAGTGGCCTATATTGAATAGACCATCACAGATGCAACACCAGCACCACATTTAGACCTTTGTGTCACTTCAAATGCAACGCTTTTCAATGGAGTCAGGTTATATGTTCAGCAGATGGGCAAGTGTGCTATCTGAACCAATTTGTAATTTCAGACAGTACAGGTAAAGACGCTGCAAACATTCAGTCTGCCCACTAGGTGGCAAATGAGTGAAGCATATAAGGAGGCCAGGATCTCAATAAATTTGAGGAAATGTTATGCCCATAGGATACCAATAGATGTTTTCTGTGTACAAGAATTTCCTCTGCGCCCCCACCCTCAATTGTTCAAGTTTCTAGGTAACGCTGCCAAATGCTGAAAGGGCCTCCCCCAGCTAAAGAGGGCCTGACAAACTGTAGGCCAGTGCAGTTCTCAAACTTTGTAAAGTGGGATTCACTTCTTTTTTGCTTTTCAGGATGCACTTGCGAAACATCTTTACACTACTTTGTATATCAAGAATCTGTCATCAGGTGATGTGCTGTGAACAACTTTATATAACCTCTTTGTAAGCCACCCTGAGCCCGCGCAGCGGGGAGGGCGGGGTATAAATTGAATAAAATAAAATAAATATATATTTTTATTTAATTTTTAATTGATCAGATTATCAGTAGCTGCACTGTTGGATGTCATTAATACACAGCTCATGCTCTGCTATGTTTAACTAAGCTTCCAAATCCTGTGGTCACTCTCCTGGATCATTGCTTAGAGACCTGGTCAAATGGATGAGGGGGAACAAGCTGAAACTGAAGGCAAGTTGGAGAGGTACAAAGTTGGTATTCTCAAGGATACTGATAACATGGGCTACCCATTTTCTCTGAGCCTCAGCTTCTGCCAGAGCTGCAACAAGGGCAAGCTTAGTGAGACCCATGCTTCGGTGTGCACAAAGCTGAGGGGTGCCTAAAAGTATGTAATGACTAAAATAACCGTTATTATTACTCTTATTTGTTTACCTTTGTACCAAAATAATTACTATGAACATATAGGGGGCACAATTTTATAATCTTGTCTCAGGCGCAAAATGAGCCAGTTATGGCTCTGCCCACTGCAACATGGGGATGATAATCAGTCACTGTGACGATACAGTCCGGGATTTCTCCATTGTCCCTTGTGATCAGCTGTCGCCTTTAACCACTAACGGGGCCGAGCTCGCAAGAGAACCGGGGCTCCAAAACTCGCCAATAAAGCGAAACAGCTCTCCGTCCGTCTGGCACGCCCTCGTTTGTGACAGGCTCTTGTGTTAGCCTCGTTCCTCTCATCCAATGGCTTCATGCAGTCTGAATTTTGACCAATAGGGTTTGCCTAGGAAACAGGGAAGCGGGGCGGGCGTACAGAAATTCCCGCCAAATGCTCCGTTCGTGAAAAGTAAGACTGCCAGAACTGGGGGTTGGAGCAGATACACAGTGAAGGAGTGTTGCTGTGTCCCCGCGGAGCCCTTCAAAGATACTGTCTTAGTCGCGTCATCGTTCCAGACCGCTTGCGGAGCAGAGGAGTGTCGGCTTTCTCCAACTCTTGCCCCCTAAATGGCTCAGCAGTTTCAAGTACTGAGATGCTGCTTCTGTCAGATATTCCAAGTCCAGCAGGTAAAGGCAACCGGGGGTGAGGTAGCCTGAGGTGTGGGATTTTTAGCCCTGGCGGAATTGGCCTCATTCTGGTAGGCTAAAGGCAGATCCTAAACAACTGAAGTGAGGGTTTCGTGTTTGCAAGTGACTAATGCATTAATCGGAGCTGCGGTGGCTCAAGTGGTTAAGACGCTGAACTGCAGGCTGTGGAAGGTCGGTAGTTCAGCAGTTCGAGACCCGGGTGTCTCATGACGGAGTGAGCTCCCGTCTCTAGTTCCAGCTCCTGCCAACCTAGCAGTTCGAAAGCAAGAAATTGCAAGTAGATAAATAGGTACCACTTCGGTGGGAAGGTAACAGCGTT